CAGTTGTTATAGGTGCCAACTTCTCATTTCTTTGATATATATCCCCATTTAATCTTCTTCCTGAAAGGACATTTATTACTTTTCACAGTGCTTTCCCAAATATTTTTTGGTAAGCATCTTAAATACTAACTTTTAAAATAAAAGACAAGATCTTGGGCCTTCAATTGGAGACAAACTGAAATGTATCTTCCATAAATCTGGAGAAATATAATACAGGGTTTTACAGTAGTCAGATTATTGGCCATAATCCCAGAGCTGGCATGAATATTACGTGTTGGCTCTTCTGTGGTTTAGGGGATCACATCACAGTAAGGTCCATATGCTGGACCTCTGTATCTTTTTTGTTCATCTGGTTTAAAACTCGGTTTTTATTTAGGGTGGTCTCAGGACACAAGTCTAGAACTGTGCGGAGGCTTGACCAGGGCACAGAATCCTTCCTCCATTCCAGAGATGAGGATCAGGGATTTCTTGGGTATTAGGTCATCCCCCTGGGATATTACTCAGACCCATATTCAGAGGATTCCAGAATCATTTCAGAATCTGAGAAGCATATGTTGAGTAGCTTGACAATGTATTCCATGAGGGCAAAAACTTGGTATGTCTTGTTTGCTACTGTGGCTGAACAAACCCTTCCTGACACAAAGTGTATACTTTATAGGTATTTATCAAATAAGCAAATAGATGAATCTAGCAGGAGTTTGCATTATTGAGCATTTGCTTTCCTAAGAGCTATCTTGGCTTAATGTTTTCTTCCGGGCTCTAACAGTTCTCTCATTCTTTAAGGTACCAATCTGTTTTCTTTTTTGTCCTGATTTGATCATCCTTCTCCCACTCCATCCCACCATTTGTGTGTGTGTGTGTGTGTGTGTGTGTGTGTGTGTGGTGTATCTAGAGACGATGTTTTCTGAAGTTTTGAAAAATAGTCTTGAGGTACATATAACTTGCATGCACAAAGCTCTCTCACTTAAAGTATATACAGTTGAGCGGCTTTATACAGAGATTTGTAGCTATTGCCCCACCTCATTGGTGATCGGCATACTACATACTAGATTGCTTTACTACTAGAAAGATCCATGCTCAACTCCATGGCTTTGCTATGTACAAGCTTGTAATTATGAACAAATGTTTCAAATCCTAGAGTCTTAGTTCTTCCTTGTGGCCAGATAATTTGTGGCTCTTAGTGTTGTGAGAATGAAATGAGGCATTTTTAATATCCAGCACTTAGCTTGGTGTATGGTGTCAAATATACATTTTTTTTTTAGATTCCAAGCAAGTCTTGATTTTATTGAAAGCACTCACAGCTTATATACAGAAGCACAATGGGGGAAGTGGAAAGAAGTATGCAATCAGGCAAATATACAATCTTAAAGAGTTGTTTGGTCCCCCCGCCCACCCACCCCGGCCTTACTGGATGGTGAACAGGGCTAGTGGAGGCTCCGATGTGTCATATTCTTGAGGCACCTTCTTCTACGTCAAGTTAGAGATGAAATGGTCCATCATGACATCTTGCCCAACAACCTGCCCATCAACTATGGGCATCACCTTTCGTGCCCCATTTTACACTAATTAGCTATTCCTGCTTACTTTCCTTTCAATCTTTTAGTCAACCCACAGACACTTAATCTTTGGACTTTAGTGATTTTATCTTCTACCATTATCTTTTCTGGATGTTTCTCAACTCTGCCATTTTCTTGCAATCAAATATTAGTGGTAGAGACAATCCAACATATAACCTTCTTTTAACATTCATTGAAGGCAGCTCTGGTAGATTAGTGAGCAGTTGCACTGCTAACCCAAAGGCACTCAGTTCGAGTCTACCAGCTACTCTGATGGTGAAAGTTGGGCAATCTCCTCATGGGATTTACAGCCTCTGAAAAGCTGCTAGAGGGTCAGTTAGTTGAGTCAGCTCCAACTCAGTAGCACACAACAACTTAACCAATTTAACAGCTGAGGAAACTGAGACCCAAAGAAGTGAGCAAACTTGGTCATAAAATTAGTTGGTGGCTTGGCCAAGGATTGCATTATGCAGGCAGTATTAAATAGCTGTGGAATGGCTTATTTCCTTTTGATATATCATGCTGCTTTAGTAACCTTAGGACCTCCGTAATCTGAGGGCTGAGTTCACCTTTTGACCGCACCTCTCTATTCCTCTTAAATCTCTAAAACAAGGCTAAGACCATAATTGTTAGGATTCCCTCTTAAGGAATGAGATCAGAAGTCTGGCAAAGAGTTCCAAAATAAGTGGTTCTAATATTTATGTAGTCAACATTACTTGGAGAAAGTGGAAATAACAACTTCCATGCTGATGGGAATCTGCACATTTGGTCTGAATCTTGTTCTTCCTTTTTGCTTTCCCGTTTCTGAGTGGAGAGAGCTGACATTTTCCAGGTTGCCCTGGCTTCGGAGGGATTTGGACCCAAGGGATCCTGAGAGAATTTGTTCCCTGCGAGTTACTGTGTGGTTAATGGATGGTGTAGTTAGTAAAGAGTTCTGTATCAACTCTCTGTGAGGCTTGGTGAGAGGGGAGGAGAGGGGGAAGGTAGTGATAAACAGAAGACCAAAAAAAGGAGATATTAATAAACTCCACAAGGTCTTTTAATGATTTTTTAGGTCTGCATGTAAAATACTCCGGTGATAATTCCTAGGACTAACCATTGAGAAATAGCTGTGCCTTCTTTTAGGATAACTGTCCCCTGCCTTTTCTCCCTTCCACCAGCCTCCTAACTTGTGAACAGAATGGTGAATCCTTTCATTTGCCGGAGGAGTTGAGGATTACCAACTCAACCCTCATGCAAACTAGAGAGTCAGACCCAGGTGATTCTCATCTGAAATAAAAAGAACCTGTTAAAGGTTCTAATTTAGAATGAAGATAGCTTTTCTGCAGGCCCCTTGTCCCCCCAAATCATTTTTTTTAATGTAAACACTTATCTCCTCTAAACTTTTCCACCTCCAACACCAGTCATCTAATAATGCCTTCATAAACATTAACACTTTCTCCAGAAACATTCTGGAGAAGCGGTGGGAGTGAAAAAGGAGACTAACCATATCGGGTTGAGTTGTGACAGAACTTACTCAAAATCAAAATGTAAACAAGTAAAAGCATTGTCTTTGGTTTTAGAATACAAAAATAAAGGTGTAAATTGATGATGGGTGTTGGAAGGCAAGTGTAGTATGACAGTGGAGGCTATTGTTTGGAAAGAAATTCCAACAAGGAAAAAATGTTTAAGTCTCTCTGGGCTTCTGTGTGCATCATGAGTTGCTGTCGTCCTGCAGACTTGAACACTGCAAACGAGTGCACCGTGTATGATTTCTCTTAAAACAATAACAAAGTTTGCGTTCCAACCAGTCTTCTCTTAAATAACCAGCTTCCTCTCCAAGGCACTCTGATGATTTGGGGAGAGAAGCTCCTTGCCCTTTAGAAACCCGAAACAGATTGTGAGCATGGACATAACATGAAGCCAAGATGAGTTGCTTCTCTGACCTCCAGTGAGCACTATGGTCACACCAGGTCAGAGAGGGTGCCAACCAGCCTCCTCCTCCCAGAAAGATGAAAGCAAGAAGTGAGAGATTGGTAGATGCATAAATTGATAAAAACAAATACTTAGCTGTTATTTCTAAGCTCACATGCAACCATATTCACAGATCGGTTCAGTGATACTTTGCTAAACATGTTTGGTAAACCAGAGTAAAAGAACTGATGAAATACAGAAAACATTTGGAAGAATGCAATCCCCTCCCCCCCATCACTCACTATTTAGCTTTCCAGCAGTTTTTTCAGAGATCACCACAATTAATTGTTTCACTATCTAATTCTTTTGTGTTTCTGTGGGAGGGGTGGGGAGAAAATGAAAGTAAACAGGTCGTGATGAGAATCTTCCACCAACAGTTGCTTTAAAATAGAATTTTTTGGAAGCATTGTTGATTTCTACTTATTCTTGTTGGTAAATCCTTGGAAAAAATGTATATCTTTTCCTTTAAAGTTCTAATTCAAGGCATGGATGTGAGAGTTCTGAAGGGACTTTGGGACTGCGGTAAAATTTCGTTGTCATAGTAACAGAAAGGGAAATAGGCCTAGCTCACCTGGGACTTTAACACTGCAAAAGCTGGATTTCTTTCTTTCTTTCTTTCTTTCTTTCTTTCTTTCTTTCTTTTTTAAGGAAAAGGACTCTGCGAGTGAAATAAATGAAAAGCTTATTGTATTTTGAAACAAAATTTCCAACAGTAAATATGTAAATTGCTGAAAGACCCTTTCTGCCATTTTTCTGAAATGGTGTCGTCTGATGAAAGACATCGTCCACTTTTTATTTAAAGATGGCAGCATTTTTTAGGAGAACCTTGGCTTGAAGAATGTCTGACGAATAACCTCAGATTGTTATTCTCGGCCTTCATATTGTTTTGTGGGTGGGATGAGGAACAATCTGTAGAAAGCTTGAAAGGAGATAAGAACATGTTATTTGTCATAAATCTCCAATATCTAACTGTAAAGATGCAGTCTGTATTTGGATGGTAACTTATAATTTTTTGGTTTTGTATACATTCGTTATAAATATCAGGGGACTTTTAGGTGGGGGGCGGCATTTGAACTTGAATGTGTGTGTGGCAGACAGAAAGCCACACGCATGATAAGCCCTGGGCTGCTGGGCTGTCATGCCATTTTTTTAACCCAGAGCAAGACATTTTTGCACGGCAGGGGTCACTGCTGCTCCTGAAGCCCTCTTTGGAAAGAGAATGCCCTGGAAATGAGGGGCCAGGGTGCAAACCAGGAGCCCAGCTTGTGAAGCACTTAACAGTGAAGGAGAAGGGGGAGTATGACTCACGATTGAAAACATCCAAATTTGCGAATTGCAAAGGGTCAGCAATGTTCTTTCACAGGCGAGGCTGGTTGAAATTCCCCAGACCTGAAATACAATCACTTTCAAATCAAATCTAATATAATGCAGATATATTCTCCCTTAAACAATGTTTACTTAAAAATGTAACACATTGCTTTCTCTTCACAGATTCTTTTTAAAATTTTTTCTCAAGTGCAATCAGAATTGTTTGAAAACAGCGGGAAACCCGAGGGACATGAGACGGTTTCAGGTAAGGGGCCTGCAAGTTCTTTCCTGTTAAGAAAGTCATCTTGTTTTCTTTCTCCTTCTCACTCTTTTTCTTTCTGAGGGGAAAAAAAAAAAAAAAGGATATTATTTACTGATACTGCTAACAATGAAAAAGAACTGTGAATGATAACCCGTATGCGATGGCATTGATGGCATTGAGGCTTGCTTCGTTTTGTAGTGGTTAGGCCTTCTGCCTCCACTGTCAAATCCCCACCGGGAGAGGCACCAGCCCAGGCTGGAGATTTGATTTTAAGCCCTCAGGCTGCCCTGTGCACACACAGCTGCCCACAGCAGGAACAGTGTTCTTGATATTCAGCCTCCTTGGGATTTTTCAAAGCGGCTTCTCTGTGCTGTCTGCAAGCAACACCCTCTTCTGCCTTTCCTTTGCCTCCGATTCAGTGGTGCCTCTTGGAGTCTTCTGGAAACCGGCAGCCCAAACAGCCGTGGTCACTTTAAGATCGCAGCATGGCAACAAGACCCCTGGGACGGTGACCCAGCTGCCTGGCAGTAAAATCTGCCACTGGTTTCATCACCCTTGCCACTGATGTACTGAGAATACGAGCTAATAAAAACACAGGGCGAGGCAAAGTGATGAGGCTGGAGATGAGAGGAAGTACAGCCCCTCTCGGTCTCCTTCCTTCATGTTTGAAAGACCCTTATTTAATTCACCAAATGGCTTTGCCGCTGCTCGGAACCGATCTAAAAGCACGGAAGCACCACCTTCTCTGTAGAAAAATGAGCAAGTGCCAAAGTTGACTCTGACTCATTGTGTAGACCATGTGTGCTGAGCAGAACCATACTTCGGTGGGATTTCTAATGAATAAGTTTCCTGACATAGATTGCCAGGCCTTTCTTCTGAGAGGCCTCTAGGTGGATGGACACTAACCTTTCAGTAAACAGCCAGGCACTTAGCTGTTTATATCACCTAGGAACATAGGAAAATTAGAAATATGCTCAATAATAATAGTCAATCTTTCTTTTAAAATATTTTCTATGCAATGGGAAAGGAGGACATTGGGATCCTTATGTTTTATCTGGAGAAAATGAAAGCTCTAGGAGGACATTGGGATCCTTATGTTTTATCTGGAGAAATGAAAGCTCTGGGAGTTAAATGAAGTTGGCCCTAATGACAGAGAGAAGGTGATGGAACCAGGAATCTGGAATACCTGTTTAGTAAAATTATTTGCAACAGCCCATCAGCGTGTGACCTGTGTAGTACGTCAAGTAGGTTTCTGCTACCACCTTCTTGGGATTCTTAATTATTATCGGGGTTGGGTTTTTTGTGTGTTTAATTTTTTGGTTTTGTATTAAAAAAATAGATGGCAAATGATAATATACAAAGTCAACAATTTCTACACGTACAGCTCAAGTATGTTGATTACATTCTTCAAACTGTGCAACCACTCTCTTTCCCTTCTGAATGGTTCTTCCCCATTGACATGAATTCACTGCCCTGTAAGGTTCCTGTGTCGTCTTCTAAGTTGGCCATGTCAATTTGATTCCCATGTAGGTAGTTCTTAAAAAGAGCAAAATGCTTTAGACAGACATTCTTTGCTTATTATTGTTGAACAAGGGAGAGCATTTTACTTTTGTGTTGGGTCCCCACAGATCCCATCACTCAGAGAACCTTTGGTTTTTACCATAGTCACACAGTTCTTAGGATCAGAGACAGTAAAGAGTTAATGAGGGAATGTGGCAGCGTAACACACAAGCATTGCACACTTAGGTCAATGACAGCGGCTTTGAGAAACATTCCTGCTATGTTTTTGCTATGTCATAGTTACCAAACAATCATGGTTCGCCTGGGAAATTGTTTGTTAGAGTATTTAAAGGACTATTAAGCCAATCCTCTGCATCAAGCCTATTCTGAAAATTTCATATAAATGGATCCATGTAGCCTTGTGTGGCTTCTCTCACTTAATGTATTTTCGTGGTTTATCCGTACTATAGCAAGTATTGGTACTTCATTCCTTTTGGTGACTACATAATATTCCTCTGTATGGATATACCAGTTTTGTCTATCCATTCATCTGTTGATGGACATTTAATCTATTTTAATTTCTTGGCTATTATGAATAATGCTTCTATGAACATTCATATACAAGTTTTTGTGTGAGCATATGTTTTCAATCCTTTTGGGTATATACGGTAATTCTATCTTTAACTAGTTGAGAAACTGCCAAACTGTTTTTCATAGCAGCTGTATCATTTTACATTCCAACCAGCAATGTATGAGAGTTTTTGTTTCTAAAAGTCCTCACTTATAATACTTGTTAGTTTCTAATTTTTAAATAACAGTCATCCTGACAGATATGTTGTTGTGTGCTGTCGAGTCAGAACTCACTCATCGCTGACTCTCCAGCAGGTTGTCAGAGGCAGTTAGTCTCATGCAAAGAGTGTGCCCGTCCTTCTCCCATGGATAGATTTGAACTGGTAGAGCTGAACCACGTGCCTTGTGCAACATGAGATGGTGTGATTCTTATTTGCGTTTCTGTAAAGAAATGGAACACTTTTTAATGTGTTTGTTGGTTATTTATATGTTGCATGAAGAAATTCCTACTCAGACTCTTTGTCCATTTTTAATTAGGTTATTTTGTCTTTGTATTGTTGAGTTACAAAAATTACATATTTGGGATATAAGACTTTTATCAAATGTATGCTTTTCACATATTCTCCCATACTGAACTGTCATTTTGCTTTCACAATACTGTCTTTTGATGCACACAGTGATTGGTGATTTTTTATATTGTACTTAAGATTCTAATAAGAATTTAACTTTCAGTGAAAGCTCTTTTCGATGGAAAAGACTATATAGAGAAAGGCTTGACGGTGCTCTAACGGGCAAGTAAGAAACTTGGATCTAATTGAAAGCAAAACAAGAAATACCAAGTAATAGATGGTGGTGAAGTGGGAGAATCTGAAAGAATTGTAACTTTTAGGAATTCCTAGATTAGATTTTAGATTGTTACAGATAAAGGTTGTGTTTTGTTTGCTTTTTTTTTCAATTGTGATTTTAAAGAAAGTTTACAGAAAAAAAGTTGGATTTTTCATTCATTCATGGTTGCACATTTTTTCTCTCTACCCTCCCAAGTTCATTTAAATTAAAACAATTCACTCATTAATGCATACTTCCCTCCCTTCCTCTCCACCCTTCCCCCCAGTTCAGTTTGTTATACATGCAAGGTGAGGTAGAACATGGAGACAGTTGAGTTAAATAAAGAACCTTTCCAAATATCCATACACACGTTGCTTTCAGATGTTGAAATATTTCAGGTAAAACATTTTCATTTGTCTTAAATTGTACAGACATTTCTTTTGATTCTCCACTTTTGTTATACGAGCAAATATGAATTAAATCTCAAGCAGTCTTTTGTGAGGATTTTATCCAAACAGACTAGAAATACACAATGTTCTAATCCAAATGACAAAGCCAGTTAAACTTTCCTTTCTCTAATTCTTCTTCCTTCCACTATCCCCCAAACACTGATGGGAGCCTGGGTTCTTTTTATAATTGTTTTTAAAAATAGTTTAATAAAAATGAAGCAGAAGTAATGATTTATTTTCCAGCCTGAGCCTCTTCATTCTGCTCCAATCCTAAATATCATGCTGTTGTTGTCAGGTACCATTGAGTTGAGCCCACGTACAGCAACCTCATGCACAAGGCAGGGAAGGTGTGTTCTGTACCTGCTCACCATGGCTGGTATGCCTGAGCCCACAATTGTAACTAAACCTGAACTTCACGCATCGCATTTATTAACGTTATTGTTAGGTACTGTTGCATCAGAACCAACCTATAGCTGACCCTCCACAGGGTTTTCAGAGACAGTAAATCACACAGGAGAAAATTAACCATCTTTCTCCCACAGAGCAGATAGTGGATTTCAACCTCACGCCTTGGGTTGGCAGTGCAACTCCTTAGCACTGAAGATTTATCAAAACAAACAAAAAAAAAGTTTAACTTCTTTGCCTCAGATTCTTTGAGTATTTGGTGAAAGCTAGTTTTTGTCCCTAAAAAGAAATAAATACACTTATATTAAATCACATATACCTTAAAATTTCAGACTTCTTGAAATAACTCTTAGGGATCCATGAATCCAAGATTAAAACCTCTTGATCAGCAGCAATTGAATTCATCTAAGACCAAATAGGCACCCTGCTGGAGACCTGTCCCTTCCTCGTAATCCCTCCACTCTCTAGGCTTCCAGTGCCACCTATTTCCAGATGACTCCTTGTCTCTTCTTTCAGCCTTCATTCCTCTTTGGAACTAGAGACATGCAGCTCTCCTTCCCTACTGGGTCTCTGTGCAGGGATGACTAATGAGTTCATGTTCAAAACACAACTCAATCCTTCCTGATCCATTCCTTTCTTGGAAAACCAGTCTTCTTCTTTGATTGTTGAAGTCCCACTTCTTCCTCCTAAGTATCTGTTAAAACCATCTCTCTGCTAAAACAAACAAATGAAACAACAAACCTGCCTTGGGGCCTGTGCACCTGTACCTGTCCTTGTTTAACTTACCCTCAGTGCTATTCACTAGAATTCTTTCCTGAAACACAAATCTAATGTGACTCCTCGCCTTAATACATCATGAATACACACTAACCAAAAGAAAAAGCCCAGACTTCTAACATTACTAGTAAGACTCAGTTTCTTCACACTTGGCAATGCTACCGCCATACCTGGTATCTACACATGTTCCCTGCTCACCAGGTTCGTCTCATGGTTTCTAGTATATCTTGGAACATTTCCACTCTTTGTCCTTCTACCTGAGAACCCTTTACCTCTTGCAAACTTGTGACTACTACACATGCTTCAAGACTTGAGTGCTCCCACTTTTGGGAGACATTTTCTGACTCTTCCACGTCGGGCTATTGGCTCACTTCTCTTGCTAGCATGGCCTTCTCCATAAACCTCTCCTATAACATTCATCACATTGAATTGCAACTATTGCTCCTTTCTAGTAGACTGTGAGTTGCTTGAAGGTGA